GTGTGTGTGTGTGTGTGTGTGTGTGTGTGTGTGTGTGTCCCTGACTTGCGCACAAGAGGCTCTTGATGACGGCCTTCCCACTAGCCCTTCACCTTCCAGCACCTTCGCTCCTCCAACACCACCACCAGCCAGCGGACGTTTCTTTAACGCCAGCTTGTGTCAGCCTCCAGGCCTCTGCTTCTGCTGCTTCCTTGACCTGGAATGCCCTGGCCTCGCCTTTTCGCCTCTCAAACACCTGTTCTTCGTACAAGACACAGCTTGAATGTGTCCCCTTTCTCCTGGGGAGCCTCCTAATTCCCAGGCAGAAGGGGTTGCTGCCCATCCTGTCCACCCCCAACCCTCATCCAAATCCCACTCTGTTCCAAGCATTGCTCACTGTTTCCACGTGCCTCTCCGTGTCCCTGCACCAGGCACGGAGCCTGACATGGTGTAAGTGTCACTGACTGTCTGCTTGCAGAATGGATCTTTGCCTCTTGATATGAACCTGAGTTCTAAAGCCAGACTGGCTGGCTTGAATCTAAGATCGGTGAATTTCTTCCTGTGTGACCGTGAGCAAGTATGTTGACCTTTCTGAGCCTTGGCTTCTTCCTCTGTAAAATGAGGTAATAATTGTGCCTGCTCCATAGTGTTGCTCTGAGGACAAAACAGGTAACATGTGGAGTGTTTAGAAATGAACTCGGTACGTGGTCAAGTGCTCAGTAATGGTGGGGGCTTTTGTATTTCTTGTACCTGGCATGAACTTGACATTCAGCTGCCTGTAGTGGGCACTGCATTGACAGTGGTTTCCCTGTCTGTTTCCAGAGCTGGACAGAGGCCTCACCGAGCCCCAGATTCAGGTGGTTTGCCGCCAGATGCTGGAAGCCCTCAACTTTCTGCACGGCAAGAGGATCATCCACCGGGATCTGAAAGCTGGCAATGTGCTGATGACCCTCGAGGGAGACATCAGGCTGGGTACGGGGTGTCTGTGGGTGAGGACAGGAAGGCAGAGCCCCACGGGGCCCGCCTGGGGGTTGTCAGCCTGGCCTCTGTGGGCAGGAGGGGGAGTGCGTGTGGGATCTTCACTCCCACGGCTGGTCTTTCCGCCACCTGCCCCGGGCCACAGGATGGTTCCCATTGGCTCGGTCTCACCCACTGGTTCTTAACTGAGGGTGATTTTTGTCCCCCAGGAACATTTGGTTGTCACAACTAGGGACAAGGGAGACCCCTGGCATCTGGGGCTCACCATCCTCCAGCGCCCAGGACGGCCCCTCGCCAGGGATCTGCCCATGAGGCTGGTGGTGTCCTGTGGGAGGCGCTGGTCTGACCCTTTTGCTCCTGCTTCTAATCTAGAGAATTTGAGTGAGAGTGGCGGACAGAGGGACGAGTCCGCCTCCGTTCGCAGGTAGAAAAATAGGACGTCAGGCGTATGTGTCGAAACAAACCTTTTTTTGTTTTCGTCTCTTCTCTCCTTGGGTTTTCTTTTTCTTTTTTTTTTTTTTTCCAGATTGTGGTAAAATGCATGTGACATAAAATTGATCACCTTAACTTTGAAGTGTAGTTTTTAAGTGTCCAGGTCAATGGCATGAAGTACGTTCACGTTGTCGTGCAGCCATCACGACCATCTGTCTCCAGGAACTTTCCGTCATCCCAGACTGAAACACAGTCCCCATTAAACACTAACCCCCACCTCCAGGCCCTGGTCACCTCCATTCTACATTTTGTCTACGATTTTGACTGTTCTAGGGACCTCCTATAAGTGCAATCATTTGTGCTTTTGTTTCTGGCTTGTTTCACTCAGCATAATGTCCTTGAGGTTCATCCGTGTTGTAGCAGGTGTCAGAATTTCTTTGTGTTTTTAATACCTTTTTTTTTTTTTAACCAAAATAACACAGGCACACCTCATCTGCTACCACCACCTCTTTCCCCATCCATTTCCACCAATGACACTGAACTCTTGTCCTATTTACTCCTGCATTGATCAATAATATGCTTATAATGCTATTTCCTTTTTTAAAAAATGTTTGTTTATTTATTTATTTATTTTGAGAGAGAGAGTGTAAACATGAGAGGGAAGGGGCAGAGGGGGAGAGAGAGAATCCCAGGCAGGCTCCGTGCTGCTGGCACAGAGCCTGATGTGGGGCTCAGTCTCACCACCGTGAGCTCACCACCCGGGTCGAAATCAAGTCCGACGCACTTAATCGACTGAGCCACCCAGGCGCCCCTGTAATGCTGTTTCTTAACTAATGGCTTTTATTGTTTGATGGAAAATCATACATGTTTATTATCCAAAACTTACACAGTACAGGAACGTTGGGAGGGGAGAGCCTGGAAGTCCCTCCAATCTCATTCTCCAGAAGTTGGCACTGGTTGTCCTCCCAGATCACATGTGCATACGTCTCTGCCAGTGGAAGGGTGTCCGGACAGAGAGATGTTTTGTCTTTCAGTGACAGAGAGACAGTTTGACTTCATCCCGCTCTTTTCTAGTAACACCTTCCTGGTGGCTAAATCACTCATTCGTCCGCACCTCTCCCCCTCCCTCGACCGTGTCCTTCCAGCATAGGAACGTCACTATTGTACTTTCTCTAGTGGTAACCTGCGTAGCTGTAAGAAACAATTTGCATCATGGCCACAAGAAACTGCACCAGTGTTGAGTCCCTGTGATGGAGAACTGCAGGGATCATCATGAAGGTTGGAACAGAAATGGTGCAGTGCAATCATCTAGTACATCTTCTGCCACAGGAGAGCAGCTCCCAGCATCCTTGCTTTGAGGGCTCTGAAGCTCAGAGGGTGGGGACCTGCCCTGGGTCGGAGAGCTAGTAAGGACAGAGCCAGGGCCGACCCCAGGGCCCGCTGGCTTGCTTCCCAGGGCTCGCCCACATCACCGCACTCCCCTCCATGAGCGCTTCGATCCTTAGGGTGGGGCTGGGCCTTACAAAATGGATGCAGTTCTAGTGGGTTCTCAGACTTAGTGCATTTTAGTCCTCTGGAGGGCTCCCAACACTCAGATTGCTGGGTGTTAACGCCAGCGTTTCTGTCTTGGGTGGGGCCCAAGAACCAAC